TCGTTTCGCTCTATGCTTTTGCCTTTCTATCACGGATTTACATGCGTACATAGGTACGTGTATTCCTCAAAATTTTGAGCTTAGATATAATTTCTGTCATCTAAAAAATGAATGATCGGTGTAGATGGGCTGGAAAATACGAGGAAAATATAATAGAGTTTGAAATTTAAAAAAATACACAAAAAATTCAAGACCGGGGTAAAGGTCACGTCTTAGTTGGCAATCAATACGCATATTTGTATGAACCAAAGCCAATCATAAATCAAAAGATTATTACCGTATTTACATAATAAGTGACTTCCTCGCTCGCGTGTGTGATTACAATGTATACCGATCCGTCTCCAACTAAAGGAAATCCTATCGATTTTCGCATAATTTACGGGCCACTTAAATTTTTAACTCCAAGCAATTTTTTGCTCCTTCGGAATATGGGCAAAAACAAAAATTGGAAAAATGCAAAATAACGCGTACTTTGCGCGCACGTGAAAAAACAGCACGTCGACAGGAATAAAATACAATAATTTAATGTGGCTCATGCGAATTTTCCCATCTCGAATTATTAGATTGCATCCAAACATATACATGTGTCTACCTATGCGTAAATATAATGAGCATACGTTTAGAGACTGCAAGAATATGTAAATCGACGTTTCGGCATTTGTCGATATATCTTATAACGAGGTTTTGTTATTTGATGAAAGCGAGTACCTATAGGTGTATATATTGGCGCAGCCAACATAACAGGGCATTAGAGGGCGTAGTGAATAAGTACTTAAAATGTGTAGGTATAGACATTTCCACCGCTATCGCCGCGGACTCCCACTTTCGAGGTCAATGTCTAGGTCCGAGCGCGCCTCGGCTCGTGTATATATACTTTCTTCCCGAGTCCTCGCTCCTCTCCCGCGTTTTCCGCAATATACCACCTGTATGATGTGGTAGAAAAAGAACGCACGAGAAATTGTATACCTATATGTATAGGAAAGAAAAGCGCGTTGCAGCTCTGCGCTCATATACGTGTATCCAGTCTCGTTGCTCGCAATTATATACACTAGTATTTTGATACACCTATTTTTTTTTTTTTTTTTTTTTCTTACAGCCCAATAACCCACCCGACTTTTCCATCATTCCCGTTGGAGGTTTTCCCGACTAGTGTATACATATACGCTGACGATGATAACGACAAAGGTACCGTACCCATTTATTTTTATTGCTCAGCTCGGCCACCTGCGCCTCTTGGATTTTATTTCTTCTTACGGCCATCGGCACTTTAGCAATTACTACATACATACCCGTACACCTTATTGTATACGTATACTTATGTGTGCATCTCCTCCTAGTCGCGCCACACAAATATTTCCAACGGAATCAACGTTACGACTGTACGGCTCGACTTTGATTTCCTATGAGCTTCTCTTAATATATATATATATATATATACTTTGTTTTTAGAAAGTCGTCAAAATAAAAAAATAAAATACATGTGCAAGTTGCGGTGGTGCGTGGAGTTTTCGAAAAATCTATACCAACGGGTTTACACGCGTATTACCGATGCATTCTCCGGGACAGCTGATCAGAGTGGCTGCGCAGCGAGGGACGTTATGACGTGTACTTGAGGATGAGAGGAAATAATATATACCTACAGAACATCTCGTGCCCATACGCCAGCGAAAGTGAAACAGTTATGTACGAGTGCACCCACGGTGGTCAAGTTTATTTGTAGCCCGCAAACCATTCATTGTATCTATTGCATATTTACACGTGTGTAATTATACAACACACCAATAATGGCACCTAGATATCGAGTGGGGCGAGAGATGCGTGCAGTGGAAGATGAAAAAAAGCATCCACGCGAGAGCCATAAAACGATTAGGTACAATTAAACCGCGACCGCATAGAGGCATCGTGATCATCATCATTGGGATCATAGTGAGTTTAATGTGTATGTGTAAGTATACCTATACTGTGGCGGAGAGAAAGAAGATCCGCGAATGAAATCACCTTTCTCCCCTACACGTGTATAACGTATAATGCATGCACCGCGCGGCTCTTCAAATGCAGGGTCGAGGCACTTTCGAACAACACTTTCTGAAGCCCATACCTACAATGTGTGTGGATCTATCTATGTACTCCACTCTGCTCTATTCATCACTGTACATAAACATACGCGGCGAGACTTAATTTCTTCTGATGATGATTCTTATGAAAAAAAAAAGGAGTAAGAGACGGCTGTCAATCTGCGAAGAGATATCTCGCGTGGCAAGTCACAAGTTTACAAATTATGCGAGCTCTTAAAAGCTTACTTATATATTACACGTTCTCTTTGGTTTATGACGGAGTGAATTTTTTTTTTATTTTTTTTTTTCACCTCCCAACCCTCCGTGTGTACGTGTACGCATTATACACTCTGAATACGCGATTCGTTCCGATGAAATGAAAAACAACGCCAAAAAAAAAAAACCAATATCCCCGACTCTTGTTTTTGGGTTTTGTTGTTTCACCCGCTCTCCGATATTACGCGAATAAGTGCATTAGAAAATCCATCTCGCAGATGTTATACTCGCAAGGTTATTGCACTTGAAACATGAAACGCGTTTCTAATCAGCGCCCGAAGAAATTGCCGGGTCTGCCCGCGTGCGAGCGCGTAACGTATTTATGTATGTATACAACAAAACTGGTTTTTGCCCCCACGTAAGTATATGTGATGATGGGTGTACCTCCCGCGCGCGGCTTTTATCATGTATACCGATGTCGAATCGGTGAAACGGAAAAAATCCCTGGGGGGAGGGGGGCCTGTGTGACAATGGCTTGGTTTATTATACGTGCTAGGGGGTTTTCACGGATCAACTTTTGCTTTTCAAAACACCGGCCGCCCCCTTCCCTCTGGTCAAATTAAACTTCTCCTCGAGCGCCAAGGAGCGTTGCACTCGCGGACTTTCAGTGAAAGTGTTAAATTACATCCTCCGCTCGACTGGTGCTGCTATTGCTGGGTACCTATAACAATAATAACAATGATACCGCTGCAGCTGCGTTACCGATACAGAAAAACCTCGCGGAATGCCAACGATACCGAGGCAAGCGTCTCAAGTACGGCGATTGCTTTTTCGATTTGCTACATAGTGGTATCGACGAAAAATCGACAGTTTATCGTTTGCATAAAAAAAAAAAAAAAAAAAACAACCAGCTCAACTATATATCACTTCCTTTGACCGATTAGTATGTTTTATTAGCCGACTGACAAAACCAAAAACAAAAAAGATGAAGAAGAAGAAGAAGAGAAAAATCCTGGAGGCAAATACGCGCCTTTATCAATTAAATCGGTGGCTTGCGCAACGGAGCCCGCGTGTGTATAAGTAGCCGCGAATGAAAGAAAAATTATACCGAAGACTTTGAAAACGCATTCGTGTGTAAGAGCGAGGACTCGAAAAATAAGGATGCAAAAGCCGACACTTTCACGACTGACTGACTTTCTCCTCTCCAGCATCGGCCGCCGACGCCACCACCACTGCTAGCTGCTGCTCGTATTTATCATCGCGCGGATACGCGGCTTTTGTGAATATACAATACATATATATATATGTAGATGTTCAATCATATTGATATAATTATCTACGGTACACCTATATGGTAGTATGCATGAAAGCGTGCACGTGTGAGGGGTGTGAGCAGCCAGTATCGAACGTCAAAGTGGGCATCCCCTATGATTCAACTGCATGTAGTCTTGATACTAATTTTTATACTCAATCGTCATTAATTCCATGGCTTTGGTAAAAAAATTTACCTCAAAGAAAAAGTGATCTTCTGTTGTACATCGGTGATTTTAATTCTAGGAAGATGTGACGTATACCGTTCTCGAGATGTGGTTAATTTTGGATTGGCAATTTTTAAAACGGGAAAAATTTTTACTATGGTTTGACGACGTTTTACGATAGCGAGAGACAAACACACCACTCATTTTTCATCTATCGAAAGAAAAAAAAAAAAAAAAAAAAACTAACACGTATCCTAATTTGGAGAGGTATTCTAATTTTAGAATAATTTGCTGTGCTTCTCCAAGAATACCCTGTCCATATGATAATGAAGTTGTTCTCAACCATTTGCATTTTACGAAAACCATCCAATGATGTATTTTTAGTCGATTCCATGATGTAAAGGTTTAATAGAATTATCGACAGTTATAACTCCACAGGTTGGAGGGAAAACGACTGCGAAAAGTACAGTCCATTATATATACACCGTATACTCATTCAAGGTAAGAAGAGTATCCAAAGTCGGGCTTTTCAAAGACCCTGAATTGAATTAATTTTTACTTTTACCGAGATGTCAATTAACTGCTGGCCTTTCCATTTATTTATTAGATCCACTAAATCATACCGATAAGAATAAAAATAATTTGGCAGAATAAACACTATGCTCATTGGTAGGTAGGTATGTGTCTACACTACATACACATATATGATCGCCATTCGTGTCAAAAGTTTGCACATCAGCCCCCAGAGTTCACCTGTCGCGTCTATGACTTTTGACACAAATGGCGGATGATTAACCGCAATTATCGACGTTATCAACGGGTTTACGCTTGTATATAATTATACGTGCTTATCTCCCTCGCGTTAGTAAAGGCATATATTACTGTATGTACAATATGTATAACGAGTACACCGAGCCGTAACAACTTTACTCCAATATTTTCGTCACGTGGTTGTATGTGTAATACATACATATGCCATGTAGGGATGAAAAGGAAAAAAAAAATTTACCTAGAGCATCTATATACTTGGTCTGTAGGCGTGAAAAACTAAATAAAATTCTTACATTTTCCGTAGCCTCGGGTTTTCATACCGAAATCGACACGACCTTCAACACGCATGGGTAGGTAGGTATATGTACATATGTTTTGTGAACCATAAATATTATGTAGATACACGTATAATATAATATATGCTACTTATACTCATGTAGTCATGTACAATGATGGGGATGAAACTCAACAGGGCACTAACCTTGTGGGGCGCTGATGGACCGTGTATCGGCTCGAGGCAGTGCCAAAATTGCGCGGGGTTTTACGCGTCGACGATGCCGACGAGGAGGCCTGCAGTCATGTCGAGCTGTTCACAAGTTCACGAGCAAAAGGGTTAAGTACTTATACGCGAGTCGTCAAGTAATGGTATCGAGGCCGGCCGATGCACACTCGTTCGCTCGCCCGCGCCACCAACCACCTCACTGCCAGACGACGCCGACAACAACGCCGTGGTGCAATCAATACCTACCCCCGACCCGAACTCTGCTCTCTCTCTCTCACGCTCTTTCGGTGCGCTGCCCTCTGCTTCTCCCCTCTACCTATATTATAGTGGCTGCTGGCGGTGATCTGGACCCTTGTTTGATTGCTCCATCTGCGCATATATGTATATACAACGTATCCACTATTTCTCCCCCGATTCACAACTACTTACTTGTCGTGTCTTTTTGTTAATCACAATGTAATACGTGGCGTACATTCTATGTTTGGTAGAAACAAAAAAAGAACAATACAACCACTCAAAAAACATTAGAAGCGCCTTGCTCGATCGATCGATCAACTTCCTCGATCGTTTCTATTATAATTTATTCTGTGGCAAGTGTATGGATATATATATACGTGTACAATGATATAAATTTACTTATTCATAATATGCAAGCACGTGGGTTCTGTACGAGCGGTTCCACGGAAAACTCCAGTTAGGTAAACTCAAAATCGGAAAACTCTTTCGGGAGAGCAAGGTATACAGTTAGGTGTCTTTCATGGACCTTCGGAGCGCAGGAAAATTCAAGATCGTAAAATAATATCAATGAGACGTGACACACTTTTTTTTCGAGCTTTCAGGTTTTTACTTGGCGCCACTGTTTCACAGGAGTCACATTGTTTGTTTTCGCCAAAGCCAAGAATTTATATAACCGCACATATCGATCGTTAATTTTGTTTTTTTTTTTTTTTTTTTTTTTTTCATTCAACGTCAAACCCATTTAGTCGAGGCTAGCTTTCGCGTGACTTGGAAAAAAAAAAAAAAAAAAACGATTTATCTGTTTGCAATTATATTTAGATTTAATACAAAAAAGTACGAAAATAATTTTCGAAAAAGAAAAAAAATACACGTTTGGAAGCCTTGTTTTTTTTTTCGTGGAATCGTTCGTATGTGAACTTGACGCGCGAGTTTCGGAGCCGTTTCCGGGTTCGAAAATCGAAGAAAAAAAATCCCCACGAGACCCGTCGCCCCAAATCTAAATCAACTCGTCTTGTTCGTTTGGTCATTACAAGAGATCATCTCGAGACGCCTCCGATGAGGTCCGGTTACCGATCCGCGTAAAAGCTCGATACTACGGATCAAATCAAAAGTGTTTCGTATACCCAAACCAAACAACAGCTGAAACAATAAATGTCACCCATCTTTGGCTCGGTGTTGGTATAAGCGGTTGTTGTTGGATGTTGAACATAAAAAATGGCAAATCCCACGGGGATTCGCGAGCCGTAGGCAGGTACGGGTGTATGTATAGGAAACGGTACCGGCTATGCCACGAGTGTACGGGTCTCTCGGCTGGATCCGAGCTGACGGGTCCATCCGTCCAATCTTGGGGAAAGGAGGTGGGGAAAGCGCGAGTCATCTTCGATCGAGGATTGAGGTCGGCTGCGCTCGTCCGACCAAGTGGGTACCTATACATGTACAATTTATATACATATACACGTACACACAGGCATCGGCAGCATCACCGTGATGCAGTGTCCTTTATTGTACATACTCCCTTCCCTTCCCTCCCGGTCCCGATCGTTTTTACGCCTTTTTCTTTGGTTTTCACCGGTACCCCGAGAACAAAATAAACGGCACAACTGTAACACCGATAGGTATACATTCGCGAACACGCGGTGCCAACAACTTATCTGCATAGGTATTATATACACACACTAGCGCGCGCCTTACTTTAGAAAGCAAAAGTTTACGTAAGCCTTTATACAGTACAACGTGAATGCGCGCACGTATTCGCGCACCAGAAATTTTAGCATAATGTACGAAAGCGACAATGCCCGGGCGCAAGGTATAAGTGCTAACACATTCGCTCTGCTCTTCTTCGATATCAATCCGCACGAGTGGGCAGTTCAGTTTTACAGATTTTTTACGTATGCTACTTTGCGATCGTCCACCGGCGACCTGTTTTTTTTTCCCCCCCCCCCCCTCTAATATAGCATCGTTTCGCTTGAAATTCGACGTTTGTCTTTCTTTGGCGAGTTTTTTCATACGTTTCCCGGATTGAACATTTTTTTTAGTGTATAGACCATACACGGAATCTATCGATATATGCGATCGGTGGAACACACAGTGTGCTAAAACGTATACTATAAAGGTACAATTGTCACAGGAGAGAAAAGCTATAATATAACAACAAGTGTGTAGATCTATTGCGCAAGAGGACGGAAATTTTAGCTTGGGTGGTATATATATATGTCTGCACCTGACGTGTAACAAATTAATCGTCGAGCCGGCAACAACTACCAGCGGTTCCGGTGATCAAGCGTTAGATTGGAAAAAACGAGCCGCCAATTGATTAATCGGCACGCATCGTTTTCTTCTTCTTCTTCTCGGTCGTTGGGTCCTCTAGGATACATCCTCACTGTCTTGTCTCAGATGTAACGATGAAGAGCGCGACTCTGGTCGCACGTCTTCTCGCGTACTCCACCATCGTTGGCTCCCTCACCGCGGTCTTCTCCATGAAGTGAGCGCCTCCCGATGCTTTTCTATCGAGAGCACATCTTTCCTCGTTTTTTATTACAACTCCTTTTTTTGTAATTTTAGTACTTATGCACCTCACGGGGAGAACCATACCACGTGGCCGAGGATGGTTTTGCCTGAGCATTACATAAAAGGTACGTTGACGACTACGCGCAGTTTAACACGAGTATACAATATATCCCCGATACGCCTGTGATTTCAGAAATAAGACCACCTACGAAGGGCCGATCCCCAGTGGTCGTGCATTTCAACATATTCGTCGTCGACATAAACTCCATCAACGTCGAAGACATGGATTTTCGGTAATCTCGTTAAGTATGCTACATCGTCGTTCACTCGATCCGTAAAAGCTTCCCGTATTTTTACCACAATCAAATTAGTTCCAAGTGAAATGAACCTCAAGTACACATTGCGGTCGTTGTGAAACGGCACAAAAATCGCGGGTGCACATAAAACGAGTAAAACGGGGAAGAGGTAAAGATGAGAATTTTTCAGGGTCGACATGTTTATCTACCAAACCTGGACGGAGTCCCGTTTGAGGATGCCCCTCGAAATTTTCGAAGACGGAGAGGACTACGTGACGCTTCCGCCCGAATTTTTCGACCACATCTGGCAGCCCGACCCGTATTTCTTGAATTCCAAGGTCTCGGGTAAGCGCGTCGTCGTGTCCGAGCATCACGCGGCGTTTATTCCAAAGTAACATTTTCATTGAAAGCCCGTTATTAAACGTCCATTTCCAGAGATCTCGGCGCTTAACAACAAGCACTCCTCCGTCACCCTCTACAGGAATAAAACCGTCCGTTACGCGGCGCGAATGCACGCAATTATCGCCTGTCAGATGGAATTTCAATTTTATCCGATTGACATGCAAGTTTGCCCGATGTACATCGAAAGCTGTGAGTTTTTCCTCGTTGCCTACTTTTTTGTTCGGCGCGTCGTTGTGTTTTTTTTTTTTTTTGTTTTTTTTGTTTTTCGGGTCGAAAAAATAAAACCATACGTACCTACACGAGAAATTCCATTGAAAAAAAAAAAAATAATAATCTCGCGGAGGGTCAATTAATATTTATAATATGGAAAAATTGACGTGTATCGGCGGCGTCGGGAGAACGGGACGCGCGAGAGAAAGCACGTAAATCGTTCGTGCCCCCGAATCTCCGGTTTGAAAATTAAAGTGACCGACTCGATCTAGCGTGTGTACAACACGCGCACGGGCATCCACGCGCGAGATATATATTTTTATTATACAGCTAGACTTTCGGATGTATCGGCGCGCGCTTGTGTGTACATATTAATATGTAGATGCTCCATAGGAGAGCGAAAAGGAGGGCCCCTCTCCCAGAGAGGCACATCTTGCGGATGAAAGTTTTTTTTTTTTTTTTTTTCCTCCAGACACGTAAATCTGCATAATAATAATACGTGACGTAGGTGCACTCGAGCGCCGATCTCGATTTTGCTTCAATTGTGTGTAGAGCAAATAACTGAAATTACAATTAAAAAAAAAAAAAATGAGAGCCTTTTGTAGAAGATCGAGAGGAGAGAGAGAGAGAAAAGGTAGGTGCCGTTACATGCGCCTAAAGCCTACTACACCGTGCGCACTTGTCAACTATGATTGTGCATAATATGACGCCGGTGTGCAAAGTGCTAAAGAAGAAAAAAAAAAAAAAAAAAAAAAAAAAAAAAGGAAAAAGAAAAAAAAGGCCGCTTCGCGAAAGCCGAAAGTAACGGGAGAGTTTCTTCTTTCTCCCTGTCTTTAGAAAAATAAAAAATAAAAAAATGTTCTCTATGGACAAACAACTCGTTTGGTTGTTTTTTTTTTTTCCGCTTTCCAGTCTCCTACGACAGCGAAAAACTGAGCCTCCGATGGGGCCCCGAGGGAGTCGTCGTCAACCCCGAGCTGAAGCTGCTCCAGTACAACTTGGAAAACCCGCTCAAGGCGGGCGAGTCGGTGATATTCATAAACGAGAAAAATGGTAAGCGCTCTTATTTCTGCATGCGCAAGCGAGATGAAAAAAAAAAGAATGATCGTTGCGTGGGTGGGCAGGCAACTTTTCGCGGCTGATGGTCTTTTTCCAGTTCGAGCGTCAGATCGGCCACCACTTGATACAAACTTTCGCCCCTTCGAGTCTCGTGGTCATGCTTTCTTGGTTCAGCTTCTGGCTCGGCCTCGACGCCATCCCAGGACGTATCACGCTCCTCGTAACGAGCATGCTCACCCTCGTCACTATGTTCACCGGCCTCAAGAGCGACATACCGCCCGTCGCTTACGTCAAGGTACGTAAATTTATATTCATGCTGCAAGTATGGATACAAAAACACACGTTACCGGCTGTTTTCAGGCTCTGGATCTCTGGATGGCTGGGTGCATGTTCTTCGTTTTTTCGGCACTCGGCGAGTTTGTCGTGGTCAAGGTCTTGGATTTGGAGTACCAGAGGGAGTGCGAGGCCTTCAACGCTTACAGACGCTTGCCTACGGTAACATGAAACATCATAACAATGAGAACCGTGATTATGCAGTGTGACGTGTTAAATTGATGAAATTGTACAATGGCTTGCAGAGGCTGTCGATCGTTGAGAAGAGCGTGTCCGTGTGGGACTACGAATCCGTGTACTCGCCGAAATCGCGAAACAAGCGAGCGGGTAGCCGCAATCTTTTGCAGAACACTTGGCTGGACCCCGAGGTTTTGATAAGGAGACCAAAGAACCGAGCGGAGCAGATCGACAAGTACAGTCGCATGATTTTCCCCACCCTTTTCATGGTCTTTAGTTTTCTCTACTGGCCGATCCTGTTGCTGAAAAAGACCTGAGAAGATACGATTCGCTCCGCTTTTTCCTCTACGATGGACGATGGAGAGCTTGAAGCTTTTGTCAAACAGTCGACCTGCTTGCATTGACGCGTTGTTATCCAAGTTGTCGCGTTATTTTCTTGAATCTTATGTAGAAACATAGAGACGATGTTACATGCAAATTTTTTCAATAAAGTCGTTAATTTTTTTCATATTATTTATCAATCGCACTTATTCTAAATTTTGTTTACCACAACCACCAGAGAATAAACATCAAATGGTAGATCAATTTTCGAGCGATATTATAATTCTTTATTAAAAAATTCATGATTATTAGATGGAAAAGTCATTTGTCTAATTACACTTTGTACATGTTGAGCAAAAGAATTGCCCTAGCTATTTTTTTTCTCTAATTAATCTACGTCCATTGACACGTGATTACTTTCATTGTCCGACATCACATCCTGGATTTCCTTGTTGTTTTTCCTGTGTTTCAACTGACTCAACTTCTGGAGGTACATAATGGTATACTGATTGAAGTCGCATCTGAAAATTAAAAGTCACTTGTGAAATAAACATTAAAAATGTCAAACATCTTTCCTTGTAAAGTAAATTTTTTTAGCTAACATTTTACTGAGATCGTCGTATTTTTGTTGCATGTTTTTTTGCAGTAATAACAATGTCGGTAATTTGAATATTGCATTTTCCTTGGGTCCATGTTCGGTTAAAATTGATTCAACCCATAGTAAGTAAAAATGTATGTGCCGCGATTCTTCTAATTCGCTAGCAACGAATTTCATCAATCTTTCTATGTAAGCTCCAGACACACTGGCCACAGTCAGTACAACTAAAATTTTAATCATTATCAATATTTTAATAGTAAGCATAAGCTGAACACAAAATGTTTTTTATTTATTAAAAACTTACCGTCAGATCTAGGAACATTCTCTATCACTTCACGAATCAGTGAAACTTCGTTGAGTTTAAGAGCCATCATAACAGCTGCAATGACGGAGAATAACATTTTTTGTCATTTAAGCAACTTTAGGGGTAGATCAGCATACGTTATAATAGTAAATACATAAAAAATCAAGTACCTTTCGAATAATCCGTTTTTCTTAAAGTTTCTTTTACGGTCATAGGCGTTATTCCCAATTCAAGCTCGAATGGATCAAAAACCAATCCAACATCCAATGAATAGATCAATAAACCCTCTGTTGTTACTGCTGACCAAGCTTGTCCTAATATATAAAAAAAAAAAAAAATTAAAAATCTTTATCAACATCATTGATGACTATTCTAAGAGATTAACAATTACCTGTTGGTGAAAATTGTAAACAAAAAACTCGAATTTCAGGTTTCATATTTCTGCTCGCCAAGTCGCCTTTTCTGACTCCTGGCAATCGTAAAGCGACATTACCGCCTTCACTTTCTGCACGCTCTTCAACCAAACCGAGATTTCCAAACTCCGTTAATTTTCTTCTATTTATGAAATCCTGATAAAATACACCCCCAAAAATTAATTTCCAGATTACACAAATAAATAATTCTTAATAGCAAATCGATCGCACTTACATCAACAGCATCTAACGATCTGTTTTGAGTAATTTCAAACTTTTTCAACAAGATGGATTCTTTGACGCTGTAAATACAAACATTTTTTGACTGTCCACCAGCCAAGATACAATTGCCGTCAGCTGTGTAAGATAAGGTTGTAAAAGCCTTTCCTTCTAAACTTTTTTTTGCAGTAATTAAATCTGTTTCTGATCGTCCACTGCCTAAATCGTTCCTTCCTTCTATTGTGCCGACTTGCGTTTCACTTTTACAATGAAAAAATGAGATTTGGCCGTTTAAAGTTGCGACCGCAACTTCTTCACCATTTGGTTTGTAAACAACGCATAAACCATCGGAGGTCAATTGTATTGTATTGTGACTCGATCCTTTTTCTATGGCGTCCCAAAACTTTAAGGTTTTATCCCACGAAACCGAAGCTAACTCGGTACTTGCGGGATTAGGATTAAATGCCACACTCATGACTGGACCCTCATGACCGCTTAAAATCTAAAATTATACAAAATAGTAAATATTGTTCTTATAAACAGAAAGCCTAAAGCAACATGTTTGTGAAAAAGTAATTTCGCTGATGATATTACCTCCACAAGAGTTCCCAGTTTCATGCTCCACAAAAATATTTCAAAAACATCTTGACCTCCAGCAGCAATAAACTCGTCGCTTGGATCCAAGGCAACGCAAGCAAACTGTACAGGTCTGGGAGACGTAAAAGTTTTAAAATTTCGATATCTCATTAAATCATATGCTCTAACAGTGCCATCCAGAGAGGCAGATACAATGAATTTTCGATTTTTGCTGCACAATATTCCAGAAATAGAAGATGTGTGCTCATGGAATGTGACGGTACAAAAACCATTGGATGTATTCCACAGTTTGATTTTTCCGTCATCACCACCTGTAACAATAAACTGTCCATCGGGACTGTAAGCAACACAGTTCATGTTGCTACTGTGGCCTTGCTGCTTCATGGCATAAGTTTCACTCTGCCATTCCCAAACTAGTAGCTGACCCAATTCTTTACTCCCGATTGCTATCCAATCGCCAGAAGAATTTATCGAAATGGAAGAAATGTGATGACTTGTTATACTAGAAAAAAATCATTTTCAGGATCAATTGTAGAATAATTATCAATAACTTAATGATTTGTGTAACAAGTACCTCAGTGAATGTATCATATTAACTTCTGGCATTTCGTACAAGAAGAAAGCTCCGTTACTAAATCCAACAATTAAAATTCGAGTCTCCTGATGATAAGCAGCAGCAGTTAAAACAGCATCTTTATCATTTTTACGTACTTCATCCAACAAATAATGTCTTCCTAATTTTGAGTAATTTAATTTTTTAACTTGTTCCTTAAGCAATTTATTTTTACTCCTTGTATTTCTTACTTCATCCATTACTATGTTTTCTTCATCGTCTGATGGTTTATTTTCAGAAATCTTTTTTTGCTTTTCTGTTTTTTCTAGAACTTTGTTTAAATCCACGTCATCTTCGCTGTCGCTGTCATTTGGCTTAATTTTTTTACCAAGTGGTTCATAAACAAGGTCACTTGGTTCTAAGGAACAATCCCATAACTGGAGATGTCCGTTTCTATATAATTGAGAATTTTTATTTCAAAATGATTCATAAAATTCATAAAATTCCAAAAAGATCAAAAATAAAAATTACCTGCAAACAGTTGAAAGATCATAGTTACTCTTTTCAAAAAAACATCCAACTATGACATCGGAGTGAGATCCCAATGTGTACTTTTTAAAATTCATGCATTTATCAAGCTTATACAATCTTGCACATTTATCTTTTGAACCAACAAGTAGTAACTTAGAATCAAAAGACCATTCAATACACGTTATGTCGTCAATAGAGTCATGAAAAACTCGTTCCATAACAAATGGATTATATTCTCCAGTTAACAAACCAGGAGCTGTAAAAATGAAAACTAAAAATTCATTTTATTAATTGGTACTGTTGGTTATTCACAAAAAATAAAAAAAGCATAAATTAGTTATAATGTCTTACCAGTGCCCTCTTTACATACTGCAAAATGTTTGCCATCAGGAGAAAATTTGACGCACTGTACTTTTCTCTTAAATCTGTATCTATGAATCACAACCTTACTGATCATACTTATGACGTATGCTTCACCCTCTGTGAACATTAAATTTTAAAATAAATACAGTGAATATGGTATCTGTTCAATAGAAATTAAATTGTCTTAATTATAATGTACCTTCATTGATAGCTATAAGTGAATAACCATTTGGTGACAAATCCAAGGCATGGAAATTAAATCGACTCTCTATTGGTAAAGTTTGCGATTTATTACTAGAAAAAAGATATCAATCATCATTTAAAAAATATATGTATATTAATAACAGTGCAGCTTTAAAAAATTGCAAAATATTAACTCACTTTTTTAAATCATATATTGTGATTCTGTTTCCCACTGGACTGATAACTGACATGCCATCAGGAGTGAATAATAAATTACCTTCACGGTAAACTGATCCCAATAAATTACTGAACTAAAAAAAACGTGTTATTACAAATTTTTTGGTTAAAAAATAAAATATAACAGAGTGAGTTTTAATTGTAGGTTGGAATACGTAAATTGATGGAAAAGAAATTTTATCAGTACGTCTTTTAGCAAAAGGCAGCAGGGATAAAAATAAATAGTAATAATTACTTGAAAATTACCTTATATGCGAACTTCATTTTTAAAAGTTTTTTATTCTAGTCTTAACAAAAAAACATACAAACTTCTCTTTCGTGAGTTGAAAGTTTGACTTTCGTATTCAAGCGTGCTCTCACTAGGCGTCATGTAACAATAGTAATTCAAGCAGTGCCATGTAGTCTTTTTTATAAACCAGTCGCAACTTTGTAAGTAGGTACAAAATATGAAGGATGACAAAAATAGTTTAGTCGTAAGTATAGTAAAATGTCATTTGCAGCAAGAATAAAGTTAATCTTTTACTTGAAAATCGACCATAAAACCATTTTTTAAAGATCGAATTTCAAATAGAGCATAAATTCTAATCTTGCCGCAAATGGTATGTGACAATAAAATTTTTATTTTCTATCCGTTGGTTTATGTTGCGACTGGTTTATAAAATTTATAACACAGGAACGTTGGAATAGTATAACCCAATAAAATAGGAACGCTGGAATGGTATAACCCCAGTGACCCAATAAAGCAGGAACGGCGGAATGGTATAACACCGGAAGTATGCCTCTATAGACGTATAAGAAATATAGACTACTCGTTCTTACTTCCGGTTCTGAAGCACATCAGTTTATCAGTCACATGACCAGTAAATCGACAGTAGCGCCGCCAACCACGCAACGTTGTCACGTCGTCGTACGTACGTAACTGGCTGGCGGCGATTGCGGAACAGAAAACAATATACACCCATTGCCTGTTCAGACCTCAGAGAAGAAGAGTCACCGCGAGCGAGGAAGTCAGCTCGACTGACCATTTTTCCCGTCGTCAAACGGATCAAGCTTTTTGTGAGATTTGGATCGATCACAAAAAGCAGGATTCGCTTTTCGCTAGGAACATTGGCTAGTTGAGCTCCCCTCAACAGTAACAGCAGCATCACTATTGTTGTCGTTGTTGGCGCTATATCCTGTTCCTGTCAGTATCAGTCAGTATTATCTCTTTAAAGCGCACAAACACCCGAGGGGGTGGATCAGCGTCTACCTACAACACACCCCGCTGTCACAATAAACAGCGTTTGCGGCTTTCTGACAGTGCTCTACAATTGTGGAAAAAAGTAAGCTCTTCTCTAATTTGCTACTAATTTATCTACTACTTATTTATTATTCGATCATTAAGCTTGCATGTTATATTGTGTATGTTTTTTTTCTGCTCCGAAACGTAACTTTACAGTACTTTACACTCTAGACGGGAAAATACACTTCATACTAGTAAATCATAGAGAGCCCGTGGCTGAAATATACGTTCAAATGAAGGGTTGTAAATTACTGTTGACTGTTGACTGATGTGTAACGCGTACTTATGTCAGAAAAATCAATTTCTGACTTACAATTGGGTCTACGTCGTCTGCGTAGTTGTATACCTGACGGATATCTTCAACTATATACACTTAGAATTTTTTGTATTGTCAACACAAAAGTCACAAGACATGTGCGTTATCAAAAATGTGTATTAAATTACGTGTTTCACAATTTCATGAAGTTTACAATGTGTGCACACCGACAGTATGTCGGCTAGTCTAATATTAACAACAGAAATGGCCGACTAATAAGTGAATTTATAATGAAAGCCGGCTTTTCCAACAATTTCCAATATCTAAATTAATAATGCGAATACTTGTTCTGATTTCCGTCTCGTTTACAAGCTAATACTGAGATAGTCTAATACAAGCATAACTGAAGAGGATTATTTACTATTTTTTTATTTTTTTTTTATATATCTTATCAGTTACTCGACTTGTACTCTTATAAATAATAAAAATTTCAGAAGTTTATAATGGAAGAGCTGAGGCACCAAGTACAACCAAATATTATGATGGTATGAAGTTTTTCCAATGAATTTTAAATACTCTAATATTGTTTTGACATGAATAAGGCTAATAATAATTTTATTGATTAGGATACTCAAATAGAAGTAATCCGTCAAGGAAACATGATGGCTGGAGCTGTGCTACCAAATCATTCTAATAATGCTCATAGACGCACTAAAACTAAAGTTACAATGTATGCATTAATGTCTGAAGCATTACCTCTTGATGAGGCAGCAAGGCTGGAAATGAAAGCCTTACCAAGTAAAACGCCCGTGTCTGTTTTACAAGAATTGTTATCACGGAGAGGTACCACACCTAAGTATGAACTTGTTCAGATTGAAGGTGCTATCCATGAGCCAACGTTTCGCTATCGTGTTACTGTTGCTGACGTTGTTGGTTAGTGCTGTCTTCTTATCTTATGCAATTCTGCAAACTTATTTAACTTTAATTTGAATTTTAAAAAATTTACAATAGTTTAATAAAATAAAAATTCGTTTGTTGAAGCTATGGGTACAGGTAGATCCAAAAAAGAAGCTAAGCATGCTGCTGCCAAAGCTGTGCTCGATAAGATTATTGGAATAAATACTACTGAGAATGCTGAAAGCTCACTTCCAAACAGCATTTCCGAGTAAGTAAAAAGTCAATGATTATATATTTATTTATTTTATCGATTTTAACTTTTAATGCACAAGATTAACCAACTTACATACGTTTTAATCAAGCTCCCATAATAACCAAGAGGTTCAAAGTAATTATGGTGAAGAAAAAGTTATTAATAATCCAATCGGTTCACTTCAAGAAATGTGTATGTCTCGTCATTGGCCTCCTCCAAAGTATTCAATGGAAAGTGAAGAAGGCTTACCTCACGAAAGACAGTTCACTATTATTTGTTCTATATTGAAATACAAGCAAGTTGGACAAGGCAAAAGTAAAAAGTTGGCAAAAAGGCAAGCTGCACATAAGATGTGGCAATCATTACAAGAGGCTACTTCAAATTGTACTCAAGCTGTAGATGAAGAGGAGGTAAACATTTTTTTCTCTCATAGTAAACTTGGGCTGTAGTTTGATGTAGAACATTCAATTGCATTCATTGGAAATTGGTTCTAAAATATTTCAAAGTTCTATAAAAACCGCTTATTTGATGGTAATAAATCATTTTGTTTGCTTTCATTACTTGCCTTGTGTAGCTTTCACGTCCCAAATTTTTTTTTTAATTTTTTTTTTAATATGAAGTTAATTTAATACCAAAAGTTTATGTTAATTGTATGTAAATGAATTGTAATACCACTTTAATAATTTTTTTTAAATATGGAGATACATATTTACATACATATTCAAGGTACTCATGTAATGTGATTTTTCGTAAAATGAANTTTTTTTTTTTTTTTTTTTTCGTGTATTTGTCTGTGTGCAGTAAACAATTTTGAAATTTAAAAGTTTTTATAATTTAACCTTTGCAATATTTTGTCCTTAAATATTCTAGTAATTTTGCATGTATATGAACAAGTATGTGGAAGTGATTCTTTGATAATCTAAAGAAAGTTTGATTGTCCTTGCATCTTAAAAATCTATAACGGATATTCTTTTCTTCCAATACAATAGATACTTTGGATGTAAATTATCACGTTAATTTAATATTCTTATTTAATAATTCTTTCTTTGAAATTAAAACTCATTTCCACTTTGCCATTTTATTTCTATCTAAATTTTTCATTCTCTAATTGGTTGTCCGTTATAGATTGTGCAGAAAAACGTTAATGTAAGTACTCACTATTCGACTCTAAAAGATAGTAAAATCGCTACATTGACTACGACGCACAGTCACAAGGTATCACAGTTCCACAAGAATTTGAAATCTTCCACAGGCATTAAGCTTTTTGAACTTCAGGTTTGTTAATTATGAGTAATTTACACAAATATATTTAATTGAAATATTTAGTGATTGTATGAAACTAGTAAAAAATGTGTTATTCATGTTTCAGAGTACATGTCTGAATGATGGTGACGTAAACTTAGTACAGTTCCTACAGGAAATCGCTTCGGAACAGCAATTTGAGGTGACTTATGTAGATATTGAAGAAAAATCGATAAATGGTAAGTAAAATTTTATTTTATAAAACAGAATTACTTTTCGTTTACTCTGTTAGGACTGTGTTAAGAATAATATCTTTTTCATTTGTTGGAATATCTTCAAATAATTGTTCTTTGAAAGCTAAAGCTATCAAATAAGGCATTTGTTTTTTATGCAATGCGATAGATTCAAGATATTTATCATAATAACCCATCCCGTGACCTAATCTTTTTCCATTTTTTGTGAAAGCCATCCCTGGCAGTATCATCAAGTCTAAGCCACCTTTAAAATTAACACTGATATTGTATTAATCTTGATTTTATAATATTTGTAATGTGTATGTATACTTACCAGTCTCAAGAGGATCTTCCCTATTTTCATGAATTGCTGGTTGTTTGATATTCCATTTTGTTAATGGCAATTTTTCAAAATCTTCCATTGAATAAAGTTGAACCATTTCCATTTTATTTTTGTTATAACGTGGAACAAATGCTTCTTTTCCTTTTGCAAATATGTCTTTTAAAATAGATATTGTATCAATCTCATTTGATGTACTTAAATAGATGGAAATTCTTCTGCTTTCATTGTATTGTGGTAAAGACATCAACTGAAAAAATTGTTTGTCATTTTTTTTTTTTTTTTTTTTTTTTGAAATTACCTTTTCATACACTACTTGAGATTGTCGCTTTTTTTCAATGACATCAATACTCTCCAATATATTTTTCACTTTTTCTCGAAGTTGAGCTTTTGCTGCTCTCAAATTTGTTGACATTTTATATTTTACAACTAATTCGGGTAAAAGTACAATTCACTTGATTGAATACGTTTCGTTGTATGCACAATTCTAAAGATTCGTATTTAATTTAAGTATATCTTGTTTACAGTAGTTGTCGGAATCGCTCTTACTGACCTGTAACATTTTAAGATTTAGATAACGCTTTTTTTCCAAGTATGTGCAAATATCTAGAGTCATTTTTAAATGCATATCAAACCATCCACTGCTTGTCTTATTAAGTTTTTATTTAATTCATTGCAAAGTGTCAAACTAAAGCATTTGCTCTAATTGTAGCTGCCCGAATATTTTTTTAGTAATTTATATTCTATTTTATTATGATAATTTTATGTAATAGGTTATGTTGCAGTAGAAATTTAAAATATTTCGTTTAAAGAATGAACCATAAGACACCCTTTGAGTAAATTTTTTTTGTTACTATATTGCGTATAAAGATTTTGATTACGAATCAATTAGGTATCATATGATAAAAAAGTGTTTTACGATATTTAATTGCAAAAAATAAACACTTGTTACAATAAAAGCTGCAAAGATAAAACTGTTCTTATATATCAGGGTGATATTCCACAGACGATGGCGCTTATCTTTTCAAGCACTTGAACTTCCAAGCATATTATTTATAAAAACTACAACGTGCACTAATTTTTTGAGATATTGTTGTTTTATGTTGTATTTATTAACAACTTGATTTTTTTGTGTTCCACTTAATTTTTTTTGTCTACCCTTTTATGAAATCTTGATTCTCAAAAAATACATAATTTAGCTACCTCAATAAATCAGTCATAAAAATTAGATTACTAGTTATTACTTGTATTACTTGAAATTAAAAAATTTAACTTTTTGTGTTGTTGCAGGAAAATGTCAATGTCTCGTTCAATTGTCAACATTGCCAGTTGCAGTTTGTTATGGGTCCGGATTGACGAGTAAAGATGCTCAAGCTTTTGCAGCTCAGAATGCTTTAGAATACTTGAAAATCATGACCAAAAAGTGAGCCAGTGCTACATTACATTTATCGCTAGCCGTTGCTGTAAATTCTATGTCCAACAAGAGTAACAATAATACATTGTCGAAAAATCCAACGAGAGACAGTCACACTGCATCTCATTATGCCAGCAATGATAATTCAAGTTTCAAGATCAAATCTAATTGTAAGCTTGACAAAAGTTCAGGCCCAATTTCCGGAGTAGGTAAAGTCAAACAAGGACCCATGTTACAGGGAAATATGACGACGACGTTTAGTACAGCTAGTTGCAATAATTCTATCGAATGTAAGACCTCCGTTTCAAACAACCATTAGGGCGCTGTTTTATCACAGAAAAGTCAGAACGAAATCAAAAAGTTATCCAATAAATTTGAATCAAAGGGCCCGAGACAAAGACAATATTCAACTTATGTGTCATCTCACGATCAACTAGCAATATCCAATGATTATTCAAGCCTGGGTAATTGTGTCAACAGTTCTATCTTTGAGTTTTAAAAACAATCATTCGGACTGTGCAGGAAAAAATGATTCCTCAGGATTGCCAATGTTAATATGACGCTCAAATGTCCCAGTGAAATAAGAAAAACTTCTTTGATATTACATCAAGCCAGAGATCTGGATATTGCGATGCGACATTCTCCCGTCAGCATCAATAATAATATAATTTACTTGTCTGCTCGTCAAGACTCTGATCAGCGTAAAAAGCTGCCAAAAATTCTATCACAAAAGCTCCTGCTGCAAATTTCTCGCCTATTCTCGCGCCTCAAAGCATCGTCAAACATCCTTTTGTGACGAAAGCTGGATCGAAACAGCGCAAAACCTGGTCTCATTAATCATCTCAAGTCAAAGTTAATTACAAACAACCTGTTGCCACAATCAAGTGACATAAAAATATACGATCCGTGTACCTTCAACCCGCAGTCCTATTCCGTAAGATCCGAATTAATTTATCATATTCATCCACCGACAAGCTTTAAAAACAAAAGAATTAAATCATGAAAATGAAGAGTAATGACGATTCGTGGTCTGTGCGTAGGTTCAAGGTGAATATAAACTTATAGTATTTTTAGTAAAGTCTAATGCATCAATCTGAACGGACTTTATTTTTGTCAAAAAATGTAAACTAACGAATTTTGCTACCTGCACAAGTGCTTATTTTTATTATATTTTTTCTTGTATGTATAAATTGCTGTGATACAATCCATGAATACTTCTGAAGTAATCGAGATATTCGAACAAATTTATTAAATTAATTTTAAAATGACAACAAAATAATTTTGCAACCACGCAAATTTGAAAAACATTACAATTAATCATGGTAACACTCAATAATCTAACAATATTAATGGTGTATGTTTTCTTCAGTACAATAGCACAAGAATTCATAAGCATCACAAATAATGAACCTTTAAGATTGATCCATGTAAAGATTTGTTTATTAAGTACGTACTATAGATGAAATCAATTACTCATGTGTATACTAATATTGAGATAGAGAAAAAAAAGACAAATGTTGATATCTTAATAGTTGCTCAAATGGTCAAAGTAAATAGGTAAATTTGTCTAATTATCAAAGGAAACGAAACGGAAGTGTCAAGTATAATTTAATTTTTATAATTAGTGTCTTTATTTTGAAGAGTTAAAATTTTTTGAAATATTTCTTCATTTGTTACTTGAAATTTTACCAGAAATTGCATAGCTGAATTTATTTGGTGGTGTATTTATATAGATACAATTTTTACCATGATAATTTTTATCAGTACTTCCCATGTGACTGTTAAACTCGTAACTGCGAAAGTATAAAGGATTGACGATCAGATGTAATATTGTCAAACGAACGGTCGATTTAAAACTTTACTCCTACGAAAACCAAATTTTTTTATCAACAGTAAAGATTGTACAAATAAGCGTTTTGAACGACTAGTGCTTTTTGCGACAATATCGTTTTGAAAAAAATTAACCAATTATTCGGAACTAGTATTTGTAAAAGGGTGGAAAGAGAAATGAAAGCAATCTTCCGCGAAGATGGCAGTGAACATTTTATATTTTTAGGGGATAAAAAATAATACAGCAGAAAAATTAGTGCAGAAAAAATCGAGGAACAAAATTTGTAATCAACAATTGAGAGAAAATGCTTTTCTCCTCTGTAGCAGAGGGCTTTAATTTTAATTCTCATTTTTAATATCTACAATCAATTGTAATTGTAAACATTTCCATAAATTTTTTTCTCTTTTTTTACGTTATCTTCCGAAAATTGAAATGAATATATTTTTATCATAGCCTAAAAATATACATTTTTCTAGTTTTTTTTTTGATTACAAATAATAATCGTAATTGATACAAAAACAGTTTAATATATTGATCCAAGTTAAATTGTTCTTGTATACAATGAGATTTTATTTAAATCGAATTCTGTCGAATTTGAAGAAAACATATAAGTATGCAATCCTTGCTTTTGAGAAAGCATACTATTTAATGTTATGATGTACATAATGAATTTTTCAAGCAAATTATAGTGACCGTCGGATTACCTTAATGGTGGTTTAAAAAATGCTGCAAAATCGAGATGTGAATTTTTTTTTTCTAATGTGTTTGAAATGAATGAAATGAAAATACTTAATGTCTTTGTAAGTGTACGGTGTCAAATTTATTTAAAATAAATCGCTGCATTTACTATTTTTGCACATCATTAAGTAAATTGTTTTCAAAGTTGTGATCTTGTTTTCTTTTTTAATTTTTACAAAAAAATAAAAAAATCTAAACACGTTTTTCTTCTTCAAATATGACTTCGCGTTTGTCCTTACGATAGTAGAAGTACTATTACTACATTATACAGTGTAGGCTATTTATTTTTTTTTTTTTTTACAAAGGAGTCTGATTTTATTTGAACGAATTTTTTGTTGTCTATTTATAATTTTTTTTGTATAGTTTGATCATCTCTCTCTTTTGTACATTGTGTGATCAAGCAAAAAATGTATGCTAATATAATGATCCGAAAGCGATTAATGATATGAGAACGCGTGATTTATCGTGATTTATAAGTACATGAAAGGAAAGACGAAGCAGTAACAATAATATAACACGGACATGGCATACAGATTACGACCATCCGTAAAATACGAGTAGAAAATTCAAGAAAAGAGAAGAAAAAAAAAAAATACAACATAATCGAAAACTTTTCCATACACTTGTTGGATACTACATATTTGTAATCGATAAAGGTTGTTTTATGTATGATGTGCGTGTAATACTGTTAATAAAATACTGATGCTTATGATATTGTTTGATTCTTCATTTTTTACTCAAGCAGTGCCATCTGCTCGTTTTTATAAACCAGTTGCAACTTTGTAAGTACAAAGGATGACAAAAATAGTTTAGTCGTATAGTAAAATGTCATTTGCAGCAAGAATAAAATTAATCTTTTACTTGAAAATCGACCATAAAACCATTTTTTAAAGATCGAATCTCAAATGGAAGATAAATTCTAATCTTGCCGCAAATGGTATTTGACATTAAAGTTTTTATTTTCTATCCGTTGGTTTATGTTGCGACTGGTTTATAAAATTTATAACACAGGAACGTTGGAATAGTATAACCCAATAAAATAGGAACGTTGAAATATAGACTACTTTTAGCGCGTTTCTACCATCAAGACTATCAAGAGCCAAGAGAGAGTATACACCTACCTTAACCTGTAGCAGTATAGCAGTATTTACATTAACCTATATATAATAAAACTAGGAGAGTTTTGTAAACACGTTTAGCACGTTGAATAAATAGAAAATAAAACTATTAATTAATTGACTTTTGGTGCACCAGTGAAACAGTTAAAATACCAAAGTGCAACCATGCATGAGAATTTAACTTCAAAATTGTTTTACAACACAGTAATGTGTCAAACCATTTCTCCGGATGGCCGGTATTTACTGGCAGGTAACATTTACGGCGATATATCAGTATTCGAGTTAGTATGATTGCTCTACAATAATCCAATCCTTTTTTTTACTTTAAGAAGGAAATACTTTGAGTTTTGTTTTTTTTCGAATTAGTTTGTTCTCGGCGCTTGGACCCAAGCAATTGGACAACAATGAAGCACAGGGGCCCACTTTTCAATTTAAGGCTCATCCGGATCAAAAAGTACAGAGCATGCTGACCACCGAAAATTTTTTAATCACTGGAGCATGTGGTGAAGTCGTTGGATGGGATTGGAAAGCTGCTACGTCTTCAAAATCCATGAAAATAAAACCTTCTTGGGTCATTCAAATTCCGTCACAAAGGTTTTTTGTCAGCTTTAAATATTCAATTTTTTGTAACACAATGACACCATTTTTCTGTTTTCGTTGTTATTGTTATAAATATTGTTTTTACAGAGACAGTCTTGAAAAACCAGATGTTAACTGTATGAGTTATTCCAAAGAAAATCACTTGATTTATGCAGGTTGTGGAGACAACAAAATACACATTATCAATTTAGAGGATGGAAAAGTATTGAATAGTTTATCTGGTCACACTGATTTTATCCACAGCATTTCATTATCGTACGTATTAGCGTTCTTTCTCAACACTTACTTTTGTCTGTTACTTTAACTAATCATTCAATGATTGTTTGAATGGATAGGGGAAAACAATTGGCATCTGGTAGTGAAGATGGTAGCGTTCGATTATGGGATCTCAATAACAAGGAAAACACAAACGTTGTGAAGCCATATTTGGAAAACAAAGTAACGAGATCAAAGATGGGCAAATGGATTGGTGCTGTAGATCTCACCGATGATTGGCTAGTATGTTTTTAAATAGTCACTGAGAGTGTCTACTTTTGAATAACTATAATATACAAAATCTTTTTGGATTCTTTCTAGCTCTGTGGTGGAGGTCCAAAATTATCTCTGTGGCATCTGAGGACAATGGAAGTAGCAACGGTATTTGATTTGCCTGATGAAGGAATTCATGTTGCAAATATTTTTGAAGAAAGAGTAATTGCTGGTGGTGCAATGCCGTACCTTTCTCATTTAACTTATCAAGGTGTGACACTTGCTAAAGTTCCGGTTTCGAGCAACACAGTGTACAGCGTCGTTTACCAAGAGCAGCCTCAAAGAGTCTTGTGCATCGGTGGTTCTAGTAATAAAATTGATGTGTGTACAAACTTTAATTATCGAGAGATGGTTTTCAAATTCGCATAAAATTCAGTAAATTTAAATAAAATATTTTATACCATTTCAATAATTTTTTCTTTGATAAAATTTTGTAGTTCATCTTCCAAAATATTTATTTTTAATTTTAACCCTTCAACTTGATCTGATCTTACCTTTTCAACACCTTTTCCTGATAAAAAACAAGCAATTTTAATCTGCATCTTTGATTTTCACAGTCTGGTTTAAACCCATGTTTATACCAGCGATAAGTTCAGGGTAATATATATAAATTGTTACTAGTACGCTAACCAATATAGTCAAGAAAACTAACACACGTATATTGACACAGCAGCAAGACATTTTAGTTCTTAAGACAAAATTAATTGTTATGCAACGTTTTATTAATATAATAGTAACTTTATTCAGCTGTAAAAATATTTACACGTCAGTCAGCGCCTTGAAATCTGACAAATTTGATAGATGTTCATTTGTTAAAAAAATGTTTTTCTTTTGTCGATGGAGTTTTAAAATTTATCAAGTTATGAGTTCATATGTACCAAACCAAAATAAATGTATACATACATCAATCTGTTCGTTATATAAGTCTAGACTCCACTGGCAGATTGTAACAATTTTTATGGAAAAACTATTGAAATTTCAAATTTTCTACCAAAATGAATAAAAGATAAAGTAAAAATTTAGCAATGTCGCAATTATTGTGAAAACAGATTTTATCACAACCCAATTTTTTTTTTGGGGGTCACAGTTTAGATATCAACTAATATAATACAAAATGATAAAATCTATTTTATTTTTCATAAAAGCTCCAATATGAAGCATGTTATTATTGATTAGCTTCAAGTTGTTTGATTTCTTCTTGAACTTCAGCCTTTCTTGCAACCTTCATGAGCATTTCTTTATCTGGATTTTTAATATCCTTATTTTTTATTTTAGTTTCCAGAGATTCTATTTCCCTGATTTTTTTCCTTAAATTTTTTAACCTTTTCAAAGGATCCACAGAAGATAATTGTTTATTTGCCGTCCCAGAAACTGTACTACTATTGTTAGCAGTTGTTTTGGATTTGTTACTGGGTACTGTTGGCTTATCATTGGCAGTCTGCTCATTTTTCACAGCTGTTGACTGTTCAGATATTTTTGTTTTGGCAAGATTTTCCGTCACAGCTGTCACCCCTTTATTTTTGTTTTTCTTTTTTTTCTTCTTCGTTTCAGTTTGTATCACCAAACCTGGAATAGGGTTGGATTTGGAAATCTCCTTTTCTCTCTTTGCCTGGAGAGATGCTGCATACTCCGGAGACATACCAACAGGATAAGTTGGTTTATTTTTTACAAACTGCTTTCCCTTGCTTTCATACAGCGGTACTTCTTCCTGTGGTACATAGCCATCTTTCACTCGTCTAGGTTTTCTCCAAGTTCCATCTGGTCTCTGACTTGCAGGTATAAAGGTATCTCCTGTTGGCATACGTAAAATATTAATCGAAATTCACTCAAAACCCATGAAAGCAGAAAACAAATAAGTTAAATCAAAATTATCGTTTAGAGTATCGATGTTAATAAATGACTGTAGTTTCAAACACAGATAAATTTTCTTAAAGTTAGCTTGTAATTGGAGAAAAGTGGTAGGTACGTACAGAAGTGTAAAGTTGAAGAGATATTTATGTATGAAAAGTTGAACAGCAGTCAAAGACGTTGCTGTATTTTGCATTTAGAAAGAGCGTAAGAGCTTTTGGCAAAGTGCTTCGGCAGATTGAGAGCACAAAGAAACATTGGAAGTGCGGAGAAGCAGGTCGAGTTGTTGTCAAAACCGGAGACGATTGTTGAGGTTATAAAAAGATGCGGGCAACAATGTGGAAAAATGTTTTACCCTGCTCATCTTTGATGTAATTCGAAGCCATGGCTCCACTACTGTTGTTGTTTTCCTGCTACTTCGTTGCTCATCCAAGTTTTGTGTATCTGTATTCAAATGTATATAAATACTTGGGCACTTATTCGTTTTTATGTATCAGCATGCCATGATACGATAACTAGCAACACTTTCTTACAACTTGCAACAGTAGTATAGCACAGTTAATGTGTTTTACTATAAATTGAGAGTTAGTATTTGTATTTATGAATTTGTACACTAAAACAACATATTACAAGTATTACGACTCACGAAAGTTGGGAAAATACCTAATGAGCTATGTATAATTCCTAAGATAAAATATATCTATATATATTTTCTAAAAGGGTCACTCAGTTAGGTAGGTACCTATGTAACCACCAGAGGCACCAGAGTGTCAAAATGTTGGAGACGTACAATTTTTAAATAAGTATATGTATTATTAGAATTATTATTTCGAATCTCAAATGGAAGATAAATTCTAATCTTGATATCAAACCATCCACTGCTTGTCTTATTAAGTTTTTATTTAATTCATTGCAAAGTGTCAAACTAAAGCATTTGCTCTAATTGTAGCTGCCCGAATATTTTTTTAGTAATTTATATTCTATTTTATTATGATAATTTTATG